ATTAAGTTTTTTTGGAGCTAAGGTGTCTACATTGATGAGATAAAATGTACTACTGACAAGCATGGAATTCTCTGGTGTTAGGCAGTAGTGGGAAAGAAATATAAACAATGAGGAATATGCTGAAGGATAATTGCACTGAGTAGCAATCTTGGGGGCATGTTTGCAGTCTTTGTTCTAGCTTTACAAAAAGGCAGTAAAATGTCAACTTGAGTGACAGGAGGGGATATTCTTTCTTTGAGGCTTATTTTGCAAGCCTGTTCATGTTATGAGGGCTTCTTTTGAATCCTATAAAGCATTCTTATGGGGGATATAAAGTTTCTTTCTGAATTATAATACCATATTAACCTGTCTGTCTTTTTTTTTCTCTCCCTTTAAAGGAACAAACACATCATGATTGATTTAGGTACAGGTAATAACAACAAGATCAACTGGGCGATGGAAGATAAGCAAGAGATGATTGACATTATAGAAACTGTTTATAGAGGAGCCCGCAAAGGTCGAGGTTTGGTGGTATCACCAAAAGATTATTCCACTAAATACAGATACTGACATTTCTTTGGGGCTGCCTTTTTCTTAACCCTACGTCCACTTAAATTTATTCTTGTGTTTGTGTGTACATATATATATATTAAAAGAAAAAAAACCTACAAATCCTTCAACTTTGAGCATATTTTGAATTATTTAAAAGGTTTGAATTCCATTTGGAAAAGTAAAAGGCACGAAGCCTGGAACTGTCTGACTGCAGTAATACTGTTGGTGAATTTTGGATTGTTTTTTTTTTATTTTTAAAGACTTTGTTGTCCTTTTGGTATGATGTATTTTTGTATGCAAAAAGCCTGTTTACAGAAAAACATTTCAACTGGTTTTGTTTGCTTTTGTTACACAAATATGTGGGAAAATTATGCTATAGCTTTTTTAAAAGAATAAAATGAGTTTCACTTATTCACCTTAATTTTCTTTAGCTAATTAAATTGAGAATGAAAACAAATGTAAGTGGATGCAAAGTCACAATGTTGAAGATGAAGGCTTATCACTTCTGTTGGGATTTCCTTGCATAGTGTCTTGGGCTTCTGCATCCACTAAACAGGAGGAAAACACTAATGTGCATCCAAGGGCTGGAGCACCTCTCCTATGAGGAGAGGCTGAGAGAGTTGGGGCTGTTCAGCCTGGAGAAGAGAAGGCTCCAGGGAGATCTTATTGCGGCCTTCCAGTACCTAAAGGGGGCCTACAGGAGAGCTGGGGAAGGACTTTTTACTAGGGCATGTAGCGATAGGACAAGTGGGAATGGCTTTAGACTGGAAGAGGGCAGGTTTAGATTAAACATTAGGAAGAAAATTTTCACTGTGAGGGTGGTGAGGCACTGGAACAGGTTGCCCAGAGAGGTTGTTGAGGCCCCATCCCTGGAGGTGTTCAAGGCCAGGCTGGATGTGGCCTTGGGCAACCTGGTCTAGTGGGAGGTGTCCCTGCCCATGGCAGGGGGGTTGGAAACCAGTGAAGATCCTTTCCAACCTAAACCATTCTATGTTTTAGTAATATTTAGCAGAACTCGGAGAAAATCTCTTCCATTACTTCCCCCCTCCCCTCAGCTTAACTGACTTGTGGTGATGGACTTCTTTTTCATGTTGATTATGCATACAGTAGTCAGTTTGAGGTACTGAGTATATTCTGCAGTGCCAAAGGGTAATTGTAGTTCTGGAGCTGACTGCATAGTCAACAGTTGAATTAAAGATGAGCTGTGCTTTCTTTCATTTGATCTCCAAATTGTCTAATGGTATACTAACATGCATATATCTTCATGAGACTTGGATTGGATTCCACTGTGGCATGGCTTTTGAAGCTTCCATGTGCATTTCTGGCAACTTCTGTTCTGCAGTAATGGAGCCAGTGTTGGGGGGGGGGGCTTTGGTTTTGTTTTGGGGGTTTGTTTATTGATTTGGTTTGGTGTGGTTTAGTTTGGGTGGGGTTTTTTGTTTGTTTGTTTTAAATGATTTTGAAATATGCATATTTACAGGATTAAGAAAAAACAAGCCAGACTATGCAGAAAGGAGATTCCTGTACTTTTGGTCCAGTTTTTCACAAAGCAAAGTGGAATACGCTTTTTTACCATCTGTGTGTTTAGAGGATTTAGAATGAATCAAGAAAGTAAAATTAAATTAGTCTGGTTTACGGTGGCTATCAATTATGGAATCATTTATGTTGGAAGGGACTACCAACCTCCCAAAATAAGTCCGACTTGATCAGGTTTCCCAGGACTGTCCAGTGTTGAGTATCTCTAAGGATGGTGATTCCTCTGCCTTTCTGGAAAGCCTGTTTTGCTGCTTGAGCACCCTCGTAGTTGAAAAAAGTGTTCCATGCATCTAGCTGGAATTTCTTGAGTTCCAGCTTGTGTCTACTAACACTATCGTGTAAAACGCCTCCAACAATTAACTATTCCCCATGCTTAACCATGGGATAGTTGTGGCCAGAAAGCAAGCCATAGTCTTTTCTTAAGGCTGAATGAACTAACATTCTCTCAAATCCTTACATGTTTTGTACTCCACCATACCTTGGTGGCTCTCTGTTTCGCTGCCTCGTAACAATGTATTTCTTGAACTGGGGAGCCCCCAAATTCACACATTATTCTGGGTGTGATCTCACAGGAGTTGAATAGGAGGGAATGACCTGCTGGCTGCTCTTGTGCTGATACTGACCAGTATGTGGCTGCAGCCTTTGTTGCCTGCAGGGCACCCTGCTGACTCACTTTCAACTTGTCCACCAGACCCAGCTCCTCTCCTGCAGAGCTGCATGCCAGCCAGCCCCTCACAGCTGCACGCTGCAGCGTAAGCTTGCCCTGTCCTAGAGGCCAGGCTTGGCACTTGTCTTGGACCTTCAGGAGGTTCCTTATGGCCCAGTTCTCCAGCCTGCCCTCTAGCGTAGCAACCTCTCCCCCCAGTTTGACATTGCTTGCAAATCTACACTGATTAAAGCATTGATTGAGATGATTTCTTGACACTAACGAAGAATCTACAAAAGATGGTAAGTATTAACACCTGCCAAGGCTTTAAAAAAGCATATTTATCTTTTGTTAGCTAACGTATTCTATTTACCTGGTAATGCTTCAGTTTCTGAATTAGTTGTAAAGAGGTTCCCATTGAGTTTCAGACAAAATCTTTCCTGCCAAAAGTGCCGATGTTTTGGTGTACAAGAACCTTGAAGTTAGTGCAGATGACCTGTTTTCTTTGAGTGTGCCATGTTGTGTTCAGGACGTGTTTGGTAACTAGAATTCCTATCTGTCTGTAGGCTCTCGCATCAAAATGGCTAATGTTAAAGAACTGAAATTGGCACAGTATGCATACCTGGATGGTGTTACCTGCCCGGGTGTGCGCAGCTTTGCATGGGCTTGTGGCAAGAGTAACAGCTCAGCAGCTGTGATCTCTGCAAATACTGCCATTTCTTTTAGTGCAGAACAGTCTATGTTCGTCATACCAATGAAGTTTTGCAAAGGCCCCTTTGTAATAACATCAAATAAGATAAGGTGTGTTTTGTAATGTAAAACATGTAAAGGAGCACCAAAATGGCACATGCGAATGGAAAAGTTTTGACGTAGAAGGATCTTGTTATTCTGAGAATGTTTAAGTTGAAAAGGCAACAAAAAAATGAGATGAAAATTTTAATATTTAAATGAATACATTTTCATACATTGAAAAAGTTTGTGACTGGATAAGTTCACGATGTAAGATACATTTTTCTATCCAAAATAGTGGGTTTGCCTCCCTTGAAACTAATAGTTCTTTTCCAATTACATGAAATACAATCTCCCATTTAGACGAATAAACCCAGCTTTCTACTTTTTTCTTTTTTTCCTGGGGCAATAATTTAAAAGAAAAAAAAAAAAAAGAGATTCTATTGTGACATGATGCAAGTGTGTTTGTTTTCACTGATGCTTTTTTGTGACTAGTGACACTGACTGTAAACTCTCCGGTTCAGTGTGGTGCTGTTCTCCCTTTATCTTTCTTGCTCACATCCTCATTTCAGTGCTGAAAAGAAACAGTGAATAAGTAGGTTAGTGGTTTAATTATTCATTAATGTGATTCAGCATAAAAACAGGAATATCTCTGTACAGTTAAATACACCTTAACGGATTGTCTTTCTATATTTTTGAAAATTATTGCATAGCTTATCATGCAAACAGCATCAGAACGAATAAATGCCTAAATTACTTCAATATATTTACAGACGTTCCTCTCTTTCACTGGGTAAGTAGTTTCAAAATGACAAAAATAATTGGTGTGTCTCACTTCGAATCAGGAAAGCCTGTAACAACAGGAAGAAGACATCACCCGCACCAACAAACACGGAAGCTATGCTGTCTTGTGCATACCAAGAATAACGACTAAGGCATCCATCGGGGCAGCAGCGTGGCATTTCCAACAGACAGCAATATAAAAACTAGCATGCGATCTTGAACGGTAGCATGATTTTATATTGCAGAGTGTTTGACAATAATACTGAAGTTATCTTTGCTCCTTCCATCCCCCGTCTTACTGCTGCAAGAACAAACAACTGCTGTGTTCGGGGTGAAGGTATTTAGGAGGTGTGCTCCGAGCCACGTTGGGATGCTGAAGCAGGTTTATAAGCAGATGTATGTAAATGTATAGCAGCGAGAATCCTCAGTCAGTTAGGTTAGCATACCCGAGGGACAGGAATGGTGGGTAGGAGTGCTTTAAGCCTCACACATTTTATTAAATGTACAGCCTCAATTTACATACTTGGGATTAGTTTGCACTGGCACTTGGAACAGATGCATCAAACTACAGTTTTTCTTTCAAAAAAGTGGTAGTGTTCTTTAGCTTTTGGCAAAAAGAAGTCCGGTAATTTTAAGTATTTTTTTTTTTTTTTAAATCTCAGTGTATTTTAAAATCCAAGTAAATGCAGGTGTGATAAATATGTAGACAGTATTTTCATGCTAGGTGCTGCCCATAGTTCAGAACTAAGTGGAAATATATAAAATAGAATAAAACTCAATTAAGTTTCCTTACTATCACCTCTTCATCAGTGTTTTCTATCCCGGCTTCTTTCATCAGGTCAGCAACGTGCTTCTCGAGGTCATCAATGCGCTCGCCCATTTCTTCCAGTAAAAAGTTAAAGATAAATTATACCGTTCTTGCGTATAAATAAAGTTTATGGTTTTTTTTCTTCCACGAGAAAAATTGAGCAGCTTTCTTCCAGATGTCTCAACCTCTTACTCACGTTCAACATTAATGCAGGATGAAACATGCACAAGGCTGTATTATTACAAGACAAGCCTGCTTTCTTTTGCAACAGAGAAGCATTCAGATTCTAAGTATTTTCAAATACCTTCCTGTATGCCCATGAGTAAACTGGAGTATTTTCGGTGTAAGAGATTCTTTTATTTCTGAGGAGCTATTTTAGGTGATACCATGGAGTCACCTACACAATGGGAATATGAGTGCTGCCAAAACATTCTTCTCTTATGCTAGAGCAGCCACTTCCTAAAAGGTTGAGTTTCAGAAAAAATGGAAAATGTAATGAATTCGCAATTTTGGAAAGCAGAGGCAGTTTCTGTAAGTGCATGTAATGAGAAAGCTCAGAGCCCTTTCAGGCTTTAATTTCTCTTTTTGAGTGCTCACCTTCCCCTGCGCAGGGGGCTAAATAGTTATAAAAACCCCACCGCACAGCAATATGCTGATTTGGGTGGCATTTTTGAAGATGGTTGCTTTTTTTTTAATGTACCTGCAGAATCTTTACACGTAGTTCTTTGCTTATTTTATTTGAAAGCAAGAATTGTCACACAGAGGCTAGCTCAGGGAGTTGATACTATTAGTATTACTAGTAATATTACTATTATTAGTCGTAATAGTAACTAGTAAAATTACTAGTAATATTACTATTAGTAAAGCCTTTTTTAGGATTTTCTTCTTCATAAAGGAAAAAAAGAAGCGGCTTGGGGGACAATTCAGCTGTCTCTACATCAGAGGTGTTCAGTGACGTCAATCATAATATCTTAATGTGATGTTTAGGAAAAAAAGCGCATCCCGATCTTAAAAAGCAAAGCGTGGGGGGCACACCGACCCCGGTGCGGCGGGGGGGATCCGCGGCC